AGATGAATATGAGGAGGTGGTGCCTGCTGTCTAGGTATTCACGTGCGTGTTGTCGTACAGCAGTCACCGTGCTCGGCTGACACTCCGGGTTAGCTGTGGGTCTCGAAAGGCTGTTGATATAGGAAGGGAGAATAAGAGTAACATCTAGGTATGAGGTGCAGACGAAGTGCAAGACACAAATACTAGGCGTACCAGGTGAGGAAAAATAACAGAGTACGNACCAGGTGAGGAAAGATAACAGAGTACGAGGTGCAGACGAAGTGCAAGACACAAGTACTCTGAAATGTCGAGAAAAAGAGTATATAGGTTTGAAAAGGAATAAACAAAGACTTTACTTTAAACAGTAAGCCGGACAGCGACAACCAAGTACTGAGACTAAGGATTGACACAAGGCATNCTGAGACTAAGGAATGACACAAGGCACTGGAGTCGACTGACCACGATGGTCAGGTCTATTAAGTTTTTATAATAATTAGAACTATTGCCGATTTGGCAATAAATATTATTTGTTAATTCATCAGTCTCAGGCAGCGGATGTGCAGTCTGTATTTTATTAAAATAATTCTCACAATAATGGTAACGTGACACCATCACATCCACCCATGTCTTTTTGGTGCCACGTCCCCGTGGTAATGAACAAATAAAAGAATATTTTGTGAGAATAAACAAAATAATTTAACTTAACTAATTTAATTTACATTTTAATTTTCTATATATATATTTTTTTTGATCCGCTAACTTTCCTACATTTGGTGTATGATTTGGTTGTGGAACGATATTGTTCTTTTTGCTTTTCTTTTGTAGTCCTTGATGTTTTGATTAATGATCAGGCTGTATAGATTGTTTTTAATCTTGCTTTGTTTTCAGGGGGGATTTGCTTGGAATAAGGCTTGTTGGGTAGTAGGAAGTTTTTGCAGGGCTTGAAGTTTTATTATGTTACTTCTGATTTCGGTTCAATAATATTATTTAATGACTTCTGACCAATCATATTTGACGTAACTTTGTAAATTTAATCATCGGGCTTTTTATTTCTTCCGTTTGAATCAGTTGTGTGAATGCTATCGCTGTTATGCCCATGCACAATAGTCTCAACGCTGTGATTTTTGTCATCATTGTCTCTACTGTAGTACGGTTTTAGTCGTCTAATGTGTATGGTATCCTTCACGACATTTTTATTTAGGATTAGTTCTACTTCATAATTTATTTACGTCATTTATTTTATTAATTATTTTAAATGGACCACGATATTGGTGGCCTAATTTTGCACATTGGTTTTTTATTATAAAAGGAAATTTGACTAAGACTAATTGACCTGGTTTGTATTCTAAGTGTTTGTGTGATAAATCATAGTTGATTTTCTGCGTTTTTTGAGCTTTTGCTATTATGTCTGGTAGTTTCATTCTAGCAATGTAAGTCTTCCAGCGCTTTCTTTAGGTCATGTGATAGAGGCTGAGGAATTATTTTGTTGTCTATTGGCTGTGCAGCATGAAATCCATGCATTAGATAGAATGGCGAAAATCCAGTTGTAGACTGCGGTGTAGTGTTGTAGCTAAAAGTGACAAAAAAAAAAAAAAGCTGAAAGCTGGTAAATAGTGTGACCATCTATTCTGATTGTTGTCTTTCATACAATGACGTAGAGCTGTACATAGCGTCTCATTTGTTCGTTCTACAAATCCTTGAGATTGAGGCGAGTAGGCTGAACTAAACTTCTGTTTGATGCCTAAGTTGTCACAAACTTGTGCCAGTTCCTTATTTTTGAAGTGAGTTCCCCGGTCACTTATTATAGATTGAGGGCAGCTCCATTTGAAAATTAATTCGAAAAAGAATTTTATGACAGACTCGCCGTCTGCAGAGCGAACTGCTTTGGTGAAAATATACTTGGTCATGTTGTAAGCTGCTACTATTACGTGTTTCTTTCCATTACTATTGCATAGTGGCCCGAGAAAATCAATAGTTACTCTAGATAACGGAATTCCATCTATGACTGGGATAGGCTGTAATAATCCTGTGGGTTTCCCTGTGGCTCTCTTGTTGATCTGACATGAATGGCATGATTTGATGTAGGCTGCCGTGTCTTTCGAAAGAGAAGGCCAATAATATTTTGCTGTAGCTTATGTATAGTCCGTGATATACCTGCGTGTTCTGACGTTGGACTTTCGTGGTATGCTTTTAATATTCTAGTAGTAACTTTTTTGGGTACTACCAGTAAGTTATAGTTGCCTATATTTTGATTATATGATTTAAAGTATAATACGTTACATATTATGGTGAATTTCCGTGATAGTCTATTTGTTTTCTTATCTGATTCTTTGCCTTCTAAAGCGTTTCGAATTGATAAGCAAAAAGGGTCTTTTTGATGCTTTTGTGCAATAGAAAATTGTTTCTCTTCTGTGGCTGATAACTCTTGAATGTTGCCAATACATTGAACTTGAACATTCGGTTCGTGACCACTCTCATATCCGAATATTGCCGAGTCTATTATGTGTTCTAAAGAGTATCTGGATAGTGCATCCGCCACCACATTATCTCGCCCTCTAGTAAATACTATTTTGAAGTCGTAATCACAAAGTTTGATAATTAAGCGGGATATGCGGGCAGACGGATTTTTTAAGCTGCGGTAATATTTTAAGCTAATGTTATCACTATATACCGTAAAATGTCTGGCGTAAAGATACTCTCTGAAGAATTCGATAGTAAAGGTCAGACCTAGAAGTTCTAACGTAGTAGAGCTGAAAGTTTTTTCTGATTCTAACAGCTTACGAGAGGCATAACTTATGACTCTTGAAATGTTATTTTCGTCTGTCTGTTCTAGCACTCCACCTAGCCCTCGAATTCTTGCATCTACGGTCAAGCTTGTTGGTCTATCATCGTTAAAGTGTGCTAGAATAGGTTTTGATGCTAACAAGGTTTTCAATTGTTCAAACGCTTCAGTATGTTCTTGTTGCCAGTTAATTTTCTCGTATTTTTTTGTTTTTGTTAATTCTGTAAGGCAATTAGCGATCTGTGCGAACGATTTTATATGTCTATGGTAAAATGAACAAAGTCTTAAAAAGCTTCTTACGTCTTTAACCGTATTGGGGAGCGGAAAGTCCGTTATGGCTCTTATGTTGCGGTCCAACGGTGTTATGCCGTCGCGTGTTATCCGAAAGCCTAATAGGTCTATTTTATCAGAGAATAATGTGCATTTAGTTGTTTTTATTTTGAGTCCAATTTTTTCAAGAATTTTAAATACTTTTTCGAGATTTTCTAAGACTTCTGGAAAACTCTTTCCGAAGAATGCTAGGTCATCTATATAAATCACAAGTGATTTATATAACTGTTCTGAGAAAGCATTGTTGACTATTCTGCTGAATATTCCTGATGAGTTGCGAAAACTCATTGGTAATCGGCAAAACGTCATTAAGCTACACGCACTGGTGAATGAAAGTAAATGTTGACACTCTTCTTTAATGGGAATTTGAAAAAAACTATTATTAAGATCTAGACTTGAGAAGAATTGTGAGTTTTCTAGTGCTCTGAACAAATCTTGAGATCGTGGAAGTGGATAGTTGTCAGGTTCAACTCTTTCGTTTAAGTCCTTGTAGTCTATTACTAGACGATGTTGATTTTTTTCTTTCTTTTTGACGAGAAAAGCATTTGCTGCATATTTTGACATGGCGTGTTTAATTATTCCTACGTCAAGTAATTTATCTAGTTCTCTTTTCAAAATGTCTCTTTGAGCAGGGGATACTCTATGTGGAGCATTAAATTTTGGTTCTTTTACGTTTTCCTTTATTTTTATTTCACATGGCGGTACTTTTGCTGGCTCTAATCTAGATGCGTCTGTGGAAATACGTGTAAGAATTTTTTCACTAGGTCAACTACTTTAGCGTGTTGTTCTTGAGATAAATGCGATGATATCTTAATAGGCGTGTTGTCATTGTCGGTTAATTGCTCTTTAATTGTTTTTTTATGCATAGCTGTATGAACAGTGAATAATGACAATGAAGTTGCTTTGTCCTGTTTCATCGTTTCTGTATTTGCTATTAAATTAAAAACTCAAACATTTTATTAAATTCAAAATATGTGTTCTCATTTAAAAAAACTCAAGTTAATGTTTTTTAACCTTGAAGGAATGAAAAATATCGTGTTTTTACTACACATTATTTTAGTATTTTTTGAATCAAACAATATTTTCCTTCCTAAAAATTAAAAATTTTCAATAACTACTGAGTAAACGAGTGTCTTATCTTAAAAAATCACCCTATATACTACTGAAAATATTACATAAGAATGTAAACGCTGTTGTGACCGGGTGGTACGGTAGACAAAATGAAAAGATAATGCGTTTGATAATTAGTTGCTATTTATTATATTTAAAAATATGTTTACACTTAAAATTAACTTCTCGATTTTAATTAGTTGATAATTAATATAAAAGATTTAGTGAACAAGTTAACATAAAAGATTCAGTGAGCAAATTAACAAAAGATTCAGTGGAGAGTCGTCCAGGTTCGACCCTATGAACTATATGACTCTTGAACGAGTAGCTGACTCCTACTGGCGCGTCGCCTCAGGCGGCGGCGGCCGTAGGCTCAATACATTGAAAAAGGCTGAGCAAGCATCGAATGTTCTAGAAGGACTAGATGCTTGCCTGGTAAATACTTTATACAAGACAAAAGAGGCTTCCGTTCCCATGATTATTATATATATACTATTAAATTACATAATTACAATTAGGCAGCAAAAAGCCAGTTCACAACAACGCGTTTGGTTGACAACACGACCAAGCCGGTTGCACAGGAGTGCTAAGTGAGTTGGTGGATATATTAGAATCTTCAACTATTTAACCAACAATTTAAAACAACATACATTTTATATATTTACTTTTATTTAGAAAATAAACTTAAGTAATAAATGTTTAAAATATTTCCTTTTTAGTACTATTACAGTGTTGTTAAGTGTATTTCAAGAATAATATCTATCAGAATGGAAGTTTTAAATTAATACATGTTTTTTAGTCTGCAAGTATTGTACATCAAGAAAGTTATGGGCTGATAGTAGATTTATTTATCGAACAACCTGTTGCGATGAAAGAATATGCCAATATTGTTATGAAAGATGTGAAAAAGCTGTGTATTGCATATGTAGAATATGTGAAACAATGAATGTAAAAGGTAAGTATACGAAATGTGTATTTCTGAATAGAAATTTTTAGTGCGAGGGTAGTGCTGCGCTCTATGTGCCACGGTAGTAGCGTGAGTAGCCATGCTCAGGCCGTCCTATCATATTAGGTTATATTTTTTGTTGTTATCGCTGTCATTTTAAAAAACCCAGCACAGGGGGGTCGCGGCACAGTGGTGACGTGACATATTTGGATCAAGTATAATGATATCTGACAGTGATTAAAATCACTATCATAAAAAACGCTTCGATGCAAATCTTTAGATAGTGTTTAATTTTAAAAAATAGGTGGATTATTCCAAAAGCAACATGATCTGCTAGTTCGTTATTAATATCCTGATTCAGATAAAGTATATCGAATGAAAAAGGGATNCCTTATTAATATCCTGATTAAGATAAAGTATGTCGAATGAAAAAGGGATTATTAAAAAATAGTATTTCCCATAAAAAAATTATATTGATCAATATACTTTTCAATAAGTTATAGCATTATAAAGTTAAAAATGTAGAAAATAAAATTGAGAATTTTCACTTAATAATAGCATTTGGTAGCCACTTTCACCGTGAAGACAAAATAAAGTACGAAATTTTTTTTTACCATAATAAAGTATATTACATTAGCTTTAATTTAATATATATAGAAAAGTGTCAGACTTTCCGGAACACTTTCAAAAGTTAAGTTGAAAAAGTTAGTTTTTGTAAAAAAGTTGCAATTTTAAATCACCCCCCATGAGCCNAAAAGTTAGTTTTTGTAAAAAAGTTGCAATTTTAAATCCCCCCCCATGAGCAGGTTAAGTGTTAAATTTTCAAAAAAATTATATCAAATGAAAGGAAAATATCTAAGGTTTTAGTTTAAAAAAAAATTATGTTGATTTGTTGATTTTTGAAAAAGTTATGGAAGTTTTAAGAAAAAAAAGTGAAAAAAATGACAAAATTTGTCGATTTTTAAATTTGTAATTTTTTTGGATATTTCCCCCATTTGCGGGGAACGAGGGAAAATTTTTAAATTTTTAAGGGTAATGTCTTCAACTAGATACAATTTGTGATCTTTTGACGTATTGTTAAAAGAAATCGGTCCAGTGAGAGCTGAGAAAAAGTAGTGACAGACACAAAAAAAAAAAATAATAAACACATCCNAAGTATTTATCATTAAAGAATAAAGTTGATTCATGCATTTTTTAAAAAGTTATAGCAACATAATGTGCTAAAATGTAAAATATAATATCAAGAATTTTTTCAAAAAAATAGCATATTTTTGCATACGGTAGTCATTTTCACCATGAATANTGAGCTAAAATGTAAAATATAATATCAAGAATTTTTTCAAAAAAATAGCATATTTTTGCATACGGTAGTCATTTTCACCATGAGTTGAGTCCAAGTCCAGAGGTCAAATCTCTTTTTTTCAAATCAAAATATATTACATTAGCTTTAATTTAAGGTATATATAAAATTGTCAGTCTTTCCGGAACATTTTCAAAAATTAAGTTGAAAAAGTTAATTTTTTGTAAAAAAGTTACCATTTTGAAACCCTTCCTATGGGCTGATAAAGGATCAAATGTTCACAAAAATATATAAAATGATAGATGAATACCTAAGGTATCTATAAAAAAAAAAATCTATATTGATTCGGTCATTTTTAAAAAAGTTATGGCACTTTTAAGTAAAAAAAATTGAAAAAATATCGAAATTTTTTGGGGGATTTCAACCGTTTGTGGGGAACGAGGGAATTTTTTTCAATTTTTGAGGGTAATGTCTTCGACTAGATTCGATTTGTGATCTTTTGACATATTGTTCATTAAAATCGTTCCAGCGAGAGCTGAGATTGAGCGTTCACAGACACAAAAAAAAAAAATGAAAAAAAACACATTATAGTAAAATTAATACCTTCTCAGCTTCGCATCGAAGCTAAAATGTTAGATAAAAAATATATAGAAAATTTAATTTGAAACAACTTTTGTTTCAACATTTTTTTTGTATAGTGGATGGTTTATAAAATAAATCAAGTTAATAGTGTCAACGATAAATATAGAACATTTTCATTTTCATTTTTTGTTAGGCTTAATAACAATTTTTCGAAATTTTTTGTAGATATCTTTTTTATAGAAAAATATTATATCTACAAAAAAATGTCTATGAACTTTTTCATAAAAGTTAATGTTTTTGAGATAGATAAAAAAAACTAAAAATCTTCCCTTAGGTTATTATTTTTAACCCTCTTGGGGCACGCCATAGAATTTGACAATCATCATCAATTTTTGCACATTTATTTTTTTTGGGTATTCGAACAATTCTAAAAGGTGGCATTATGCAATTTTAAAAGTTCATAATTAACGGTCACATTAATATACATATATATTTTTTTAATATTAAATGAAAAAACAAATATGTTGTATTTGTAATTGTTTATTTATTTCACTAAATGTTTTATTACAATAAATATCAAAAAAATGATGGGTATTTTATATAATATCGATTGAATCTATCCAAATATTATGTGAATTATCCAAACCAACAAACTTGACAAAACATTTGTCTTTATTCTTCTTAATGATCTTTTCCACTAAATAAACTTCTGGAAACTGAGTGTTGCTAAGTTCGTGCTCATAGAAACAACCATTTATAGGTCTGTTGATTTCACCTGTTAGTTCATGCACGATGGGTTTTTTATCACAAATTTTTGCGATTGTAAAGACTTCCGATGTCCAATATTGTGTATATCCTTTTGAAAATACTACTTTATGCTTATTCAGACGAACTTTATCTCCAATATTGAACTTTTTACTGTATTTTAAATTAGGTGGTCGTTTAAAACTGACATTTCCAGGATTATGTTATGCAATACTAGGATTTGTTCCTATTGTGCTATGTTTTGTATTATTGTAATTTGCTATTAAATCTGATATGTATATCCAACTATATGATCTATTGATAGTAAATTTTTTCCAAATTTTTTCTTTTAGTGTTCTATTAAATCGTTCCACAACAGCCGCTTTCATTGTAGAGTAGGTTGAATAATGATTTATATTTTTGTTATTCATGAGCATCCAAAAATGTTTGTTGAAAAATTCTAAACTTCGGTCTGTTTGAAAGTTTTTTGGAGATCTATTGAACAAAACTTTTTCAAAAGCCGACTTCACTTCTGTACTAGATTTATTTTTTAAAGGCACAGCCTATGCATATTTTGTATAAAAATCGATTATCGTTAAAATAAATGTAAAATTTTGATTTTTTGTAGCGTATATTTTGATATCTACTAAATCTGCTTGCCACAAGTCATCTTTCCCGTTCGATGCAACTCTTCATCTAGGAAATATTTTTCTAGCTGGCTTATGTAATTCATTTTCTACTTTTTCTGCTACTTTACTTATGAAATTACACCTAGTTCTCATAACTCTTCTTTTATTGACAGTATTTCGTTTCCTACACCTGTATTTCCAGCACTTCTTGCAGCGTATAAAAGTTCTAATCGAACTATGAGTTCATTAGGATCGTTCCAATATACGTATTCCTTAGGTCTTTTGTTTAAAACTTTTGTAGGTTAACACACCACTGCCTGTTTTCGGAGGAAACAAGTTACTAATGATGTATTTATATTTATAGCCTACATTACTTTTCAATTTTCCATCTCGACCCAAATGGGCATCAGTGTAAAGTAGTAAAGTTTTATAATCCGATAGATCCATTTTATTAAATGATCCAACTGCAGGTTTACTTTTAAATAATAATTGATAAAGCCCATAACTTAGTGGTCGTGGTGCTAATGATCGAACTTTAATAGTTGAAAAATTATCGGTTATTTTAACCGTAGTATTGTCCATGATAAAATCATTATCTTTCACATACTTTAAACCGTAAACTGGGTCCATTTCTAACAACCACTTCAAAAAATCTTCTCGCTGCATTTCACTGGAAAACGAGCGTTTAGGCTTATCGACATTTGCCGTCTTTATTTGTTCCCGAGAGTTGAAGGTTCATTTTTTATTGAACTTTTCATCTTTATTTCCTCTTCTTGAGATGCAGAGAGTTCGTTAGAGCTCTGTATCATATCATTTTCTTCGGGTGTAAAGGATGTAATTGGATTAGTTTTTACTCTAGAACGAACATTGTCAAAGCGACGAAATAATGACTTTCTATGCTTTTGCTTTCTTCCACTTCAACACGGTTTTGATTAGCTATTTCTTGAAGAGGTTTCACCAGCGGTGATATATATGTACGTACAAAATTTTGCGATTTCTCAACATTTCTATGAATTAACTGTATTTTATTTTTTATGTTTTGTTTAGAGCGTATGATTTCTTTCAACACTTTATCCGACATCTTGTTATTAACTAAACATATAGTAGTATGAGTCGTCTTTTTTTACTCGTGTCATTTTTATGAATATATCAAGTCCACATCGATATCGACCATTGTTGAAGTCATCATCTTTGATTATAGTAATGAAACTATACCGTCCTTTATTGCAACATTGTTTTGAATTCATTAAAACTCATATCACTGGAACAATCTTCTTCATAAACGTGTTTGAGGTTTGTTTCATCTTATTTGTACAGTATAATTATATTAGTGTTATCTCTTATCAGTTGTTTTGGAATTCTAGAATACGTCTGTGTCAGGTAAAAACTATCAACAACATTGTGTCACCCTCGGTAAAAATAAGATGTCATATTAATTAGTTTTTCATAAATTACATCATCGAATACTAACACAAAATTTGCTTCTAGTTTTTCGGGTGGAGGCACTTCTTCACTGCTGGTGAACATAGATAATTTTACCACATTATCCATAATCTCATCTATTAATTTATATTTGTGCTGATCGAGGATTTTCGTGTAAGCGTATAGATGCTCGAACCACAAACCATTTTCCTCCGTTAATAATTTAAATATAACATTTGTTTACCACAATTTGATTGTACACATATTCTGCATCTTATTGTGTTGGGTAACTGTGGTCCATGTTTAGACTCGGTGGGGTCTGTAAGATCCGTGACATTATCGATTGTTAGAGTATGTTTCTGTTTCTCAAAAAACATTAGCGCACGTTATTATTTGTCAAATGAATGAATATAAATGATGAAAAACTCAAAAAACTTTTACAGTTATAAATTGAAAATGGTGCAAACAAGATGTGCGACAAAGTGAAGTGTAGGACGCGGTATTGTTAATTCAATAGTTAATCGATTGTCCATTGAAATGCATGTTCAGGGGATTCAGTATTGCGGACCAGGCACAAAACTTAATAAAAGACTAGCACGTGGTGATCCTGGAATAAATAAACTCGATGCAGCGTGTCGTGAACATGATATTGCGTACGCAAGAACAAATGATTTATCGGAACCGCATTTGGCTGATTACAAGTTGGAAAAACGTGCTTAAGACCGCGTAAAAGCGAACGATAGGTCATTTGGAGAAAAAGCTGTTGCGTATGCAGTTACAGATACCATGAAAGCTAAAAGAAAAATTGGAATGGGCTTTGTTGGTGTACTCCGAGTTGGACGTAAAGCTATGCACAATTTGAAAGATATTAACAGTGCGCCAAACTTGGCATTAGCGGTAGCTCGTGTTGCTGTAAAGGGTGAAGAAAAATTTAAAACACCTCGCACTAACAAAGTACCTAAATTTGGTGGTGTGCTGCCACTCATACTTATTTTTGCTGGACTTTCAGCTTTAGGATCGTTGACAGGTGATGTATCGAGTATTGTAAGAGCTGCACACGAAGTCAGAAAAAACGCTAATTCGAATATACCAGTGAAAATCGGTAATGCATTATACTTGCACCCATACGCTGGGAAGAAAAAGGGCGGAGGATTCTATCTGAAATATCAAAAAAACTAACAACGACACTACCCAACCGACGTGCACTCAGCGATTTAGATATTATAAAATATGCTGAGTCATTCGGAAAACAGTTATTTTCGCGATGTTTTTTTAAGAGATAAGTGCCTGTCAAACCCAAATTATTCGAGGGTGCAGTTGTTAATTTGGACATTGACCGTGGAAAAGGAACGCATTGGGTAGCGTATTCAAGAAAAGCAAGCACGGACGTGGTGTATTTTGACTCTTTTGGAAATTTACCTTCTCCGCTGTAACTTGAAAAATATTTTTTCGGATTGCGCGTGAAATACAATTATAATCAGAAACAAAAATATAACACAAACGTTTGTGGTCAGCTGTGTTTAAAACTTTTTAAATCACAATGCTCAAATCGCTGACACTTACGCTGCATGGCACAACATCGGAAATCACATCAAGTTTTCTTCAGCCGATAGAATTGACTGGAGCACCAGAGGTTGCGTTGTTGGGATTTTACGGATGTAATTAAATACCAAATTTTGACAAGTCAAACAATACATTCACTTTGATAAATACAAATAACAAGCTTCTTGAAAATAACATAGAAATTAAAGTGCCTGAAGGCACTTATGAACTTGAAGACATTAATAAATATCTAGAAGAACATCGTCAGTCATATAAAATCTTATTCATGTTGAAAGCTAATAAAAAGACTTTAAAATCAGAATAAAGTGTAGCCGACAGATAGATTTGTCCGTTGAAAATAGTATAAGTGGTATTTTAGGCTTTCATCGAAAAATACTCCACACAAATAAAATACATATATCGGATCAAGTTGCTAACATAAATAATTAAACTAGTATATATGTATTTTGGAAATACTGACACTTATATATATATCTTAAATTAAAGATAATGTAATATACTTTATAAGGGAAAAAAAAAATTTCGGACTATAATTTGTTTTCATAGTTATTACAGTCATCAAAGTTAATAAAAATATACCATTTTTGTAAAAAAATTCTTTTTCATATTTTTAACTTTATAATGCTATAACTTTTTGAGAAATGTATGGATCATTATAATATTTTTAAAAGAAATAATATTTATATACCTCTTTCATTCGACATAATTTTTTTTTTAATCAGACCATTTCTCTATATATGGGGATGGGGGTTCAAATCTAAAAAATGTATATAGAAAGTAGAACTTTTTCAACTTAACTTTTGAAAGTGTTTCGGAAAAACTGACACTTTCATATATATCTTACATTAAAGCTTAAATTTAAATATTATACGTATAAATCATAAAACTTAATCATAATATAAATAAGGAAATATGAGATCATGTTGCTTTTCGAATAATCCACCTGTACCAATTTCTTGTATTTCCTCCCAATGAACCTGATGTAAGTTGGTACCACCACCACTACCCGGCGTCACGATCACCGGCCTCTATACGGTGCCATGAATACTCGCTTTTTCTCAAATATATACCGAGTTGTACGGACGTGCCATTTTTTATTGTCTTTTGTCGCTTATCAATACACGTTTCTTTTTCTTACTGTCAATTTTTTTGTGTACTCCGTTTTTTTTTTTATTAAACATCGAGATGTACACGATGGCGGGAGGCGCAAAATATATTTTGCCGGCACTCCTCAAGAACTCAACGACAAGTATACATAAAACCAGTTGGTTGACCAACGATTCTGACAGTTTTTCATTATAGATCAGTCGTAGGATAGACATATTTTTAAGTGGTTTCTATAAAACCCTACTTGTACTTAGATTTCTCGATTTCTCAAGTTCTCAATTCTCAATGGATTTTTTTAAAAATTAAATATAATTTCTTTAAATTATACCAAAGAAAAGATGACTGTTTACTGTATTGAAATACTATTGTATTAAAATTTTATTAGCATAGGGTCTTTTTTTTTAAAAAGTTGTAGTCGTTTTGAAACTCAGAAAAATAAAATGATAAAAATTCTATTTTTTACAGTATTTTTGAGATTTTTTTTTAAATTTGTAAATTTAAGAAGGGATTTTTTCAAATTTAATATGATATTTTCTTTTCTATTTAATTATCAACTTTATTTTTAGCAAAACACCTCTATGAGTGGCTAATAGATTATGTTTGTTGTGAAATAGAAAACGAAGTTAGCCAAATAAAAAATATTAATGATTGTGTAGAATTTCGAATTTTTCTGATCCAAAAATTTAGTTCTAGTATAACAACAATTTAAGAGAAAATATATCTTCCGCGTTTAGTTAATCTACCTAGAAAAAATATCCTGTAACTTCAAAACTGAACAAACTGAAGATTAATTAAAAAATATTTTTGTTTCATATAATATATAAACACATACTTCATATTTATATTTATTAAGTTATATTTTTCATTTAATTACTACATATACTAATTTAATCATCATTTATGATGTACACTATACTATAAACTTTTTAAAAAATCCAAAAAGTAATTTTTGCCAGGTTTTGGCACCTCTATGCAGCTGATTCGTTCAGAGCAACTTAAAAAAATTGTAAATACATATAATTTCTGCTTTTGTGTTAAGAGTTATCATTAAGATCTTAAACACTCTGCATAGGTTGTTATTTTCACCTCAAACCTTTTATGAATTTAATAACGATGTCCATTCTATACAGATAGCGTAGTTTGGAATATGTTTTTATTAATTACTCTATATTATTTGATTCTTTAACAAAATGAAATATTAGAGGTAATCATTGTTTTAATTTTTAATAAAAACATTTTTTTCCCTAATTTTTCTAATAGAGAAGCTCAACAAAAAATTATTATTGTTAAAAAAAATAATTAGCTCTTATATTATTAAAAATATTTTTGAAGAGAATTGAATAAAAAACATTTGTATTTAATCAACCCTGATAGTAAAAAAAAAAAAGGAATGCAATTAGAAAAATAAAATAAGTAGTTGATTGTTTAAGGTTTAAGGGATGATTATAGAATTATAAAATTTCTAATAGTGTAGCTCAAATAAGAATTATTAGTGTTAAAACAAAAAAAGATTAGCTCTTATATTTTTGAAAATATGTCGTAAAGCGTAGTGTCGTAACACAGTAAAAAGAATGATAAAAGGTAAATGGGTAAATGTGAAACTATGTGTACGAAGATGAATATGAGGAGGTGGTGCCTGCTGTCTAGGTATTCACGTGCGTGTTGTCGTACAGCAGTCACCGTGCTCGGCTGACACTCCGGGTTAGCTGTGGGTGTCGAAAGGCTGTTGTTATAGGAGGGGAGAATAAGAGTAACACCTGGGTATGAGGTGCAGACGAAGTGCAAGACACAAGTACTCTGAAATGTCGAGGAAAAGAGTATATAGGTTAGAAAAGGAATAAACAAAGACTTTACTTTAAACAGTAAGCCGGACAGCGACAACCGAGTACTGAGACTGATGAATGACACAAGGCACTGGAGTCGACTGACCACGATGGTCAGGTCTATTGGGTTTTTATAATAATTACACCTATTGCCGATTTGGCAATAAATATTATTTGTTAATTCACCAGTCTCAGGCAGCGGATGTGCTGTCTGTATTTTATTAAAATAATTCTCACGATTATGAAAACGTGACACCATCACAGTAGTTAAGGAAACACTGTGTGTAACAGTTATTTTAGAATTAAATACAATAGTGTTAAAATACATTAATAAAAGATGATATAAATATTTTTTATAAAGGAGTTCCAGTAGAAATATCCATTAGAACACTTCGGTGTAAAATTTGTTATGACAAGCCGGGGTGTCGTAGTATGTCCAAAGATTGCAGACACTTGTATTGTGAAAATTGCTTTCAAAATATTATTAAGGACCAAAATTGTTGTCTTCGCAAAAGTTGCTACGGAATTTTAGAAGAATGATGGGCAAAATATATAAGTTACTTTCACGGTAATATATTATAATAATAAAAAAATTATATAATTTTAAAAGTTTACTGTATAACATAAAATTATCAAAATTACAATAAAACACAAAAACAAATTTGAGTGATATATTTTATACATTATTAATGTAAAATTGTTAAATTTTTTAAGTAATATATAAAAATACATTTCTACGCATTTCATATGATTCTTCTATTACATAGTAAAAAAACTACAAGCCGTTTTTTATAAAGATTTTTAATTCGAGTTCATCTAATTGCATTACCTCTTCCAACAACGTGTATCTGAAACCTATCGCGCAACGACGAACGCCTTTAGGTAGTGCAGGACTTTTATGTTTCTACGCTTTATTGAGTTTACAAACCCATAGAGAGGTACAATTAGTCAAAAACAACGGTCATCTGATAGATATTATTATGATTTAGCACAGTGGCAGTATGCTAACCAGCGACGCTAAGTTGTCAGATATTAATTAAATACTACAACAAAAAAACTAAAATTAAGTACAGGTCAGGTAATATTGAATACTATTATCGTAACGTCTTCGAACATTCTAATAACTTAGAACTATCTATGAGAATCTAAATAACAATGAGTTTGAACCCTTTAAACTATCTATTAAGTCTATTGTAGATTCAATGAAAAACATTTAAATTAATACTTTGACCGGATTGAAATCTGGAAAAATATTCCAACCGGAATTTTTCATGCACACTGTGTGAAAACTAAATTTATTTCTAAATTATCAATAATTTTAGTGTTTCTATTATTATATGTTCAAAGTGAAATTAATATTTTTTTAGCTTTGATGCAAAGCTGAGTAGATATTAATTTTACTATTATGTGTTTTTTGTGTCTGTTATTAAATTTTCTCTGTTTTCACTGGCCCAATTGTACTGAACGATATAGCAACCGGTTATAAATTGTATCTGGTTAAAGGCCTTACATTCAAAAATTGAAAAAATTTCCCTAGTTCTCATTAAACGGGGGAAATTCTCTATTTAAACGAAACTAATATTTTTAAAATAAATACCTTAGATATTTCTCTTTCATTTGGTATATTTTTTTTTGAAATCTGACTCTTTACCTGCTCACATGGGGAATTTAAAATAGCGACTGTTAAGCATTTACTTAAACTAATTGTAGTCTTTTTTTATGTTAAATAAAACTTAATTTTTAATATTAATATTGATTTGACACTATGATTAAAAAAGTATTATGATAAATAATAAGTGTTTAATTTTATATGATAACTTTTAATTTCGAAAGTATTTCAACTTCAGGTTACCTTTTAATGTTAATAAATATAAAAAAAATTGCATTATCAAATATTCGCAAAAAAATAGAATAAATTCATTATAAAATATGTAAAAGTTATTTGTATATAATTTGAAGTATATAAATATAAAAATATGTATATTGTAAAAAAATTGGGTAACATTTTATTACTATAGTACAATTTTAATAGTACTATAGTACATTTTATTACTTTAGTACTGTAGTAATTAGATGAGGAAGTATTGAATTACGTCGATTTTAGTATAATATAAGCTTTACAATAGTAATAAGCAATTTTTGAACTCTTAAGCAATATAACAATTCCATATAAAAGGGAAATGCAGGGTAAGCAAATTAATAATGGTGGGAAAAAGAATATAAAAGGGAAACATGAAAAGTATAGGGGGACGATACATGGCGAGACGAGACTGGACGTTTTGTCGAAGAAACGTCGAGTTACGGGTTAGGTCGTTGGTGTAAGAATAACTTTATATTTTTGTAAGATTTAATTAATTTTTGTGTTAAATTTTTATATTATATTTGACTTTGTGTTTAATACATTTCTTAAATAAAATAACTATTTAAAAATCTGGGCTTAGCGCAAATATTTTATATTCACCGTGTTCTTGGAATTTGTGTGTGTGTGCGGCTAGAGTCAAGGTTGGACTGCTGATCCTTTAGTCAATCTTAATAATTAGTGTACGAGCTGGCTAGTTTTTGGGGTTAACTGTCCTTCAGTGGGTATAGTAAAAAGGTAGTTGTGCTGGTGGCTGACAAGGAGCCACCCTTCAGTCTGCTACTTTTGAGCTAGACTGTGCTGACGGGTCTAAGCTCTACCCCTTTAGTAGTCCACTAATTAGAGGGATTAGGGCTGATCAGTTTATCCAACGGGAGGACTCAAGAAAGCTCGAACGACGGACTCGTCTTCAATATATATATATATATATATATATAAAAAAACATCAATTAATTTGTGTTAAACTTTTGTGTCTACGTTGGGGCACTACCGACGTACGACAGTACAATAGTGAGTTAGTTGAATTTAACAATTTAAAATTTACACAAAATTGCATGGCAGTTTTAACTGGGGCATATTTTTTTGATCTCATGTTTTTTAGGGGGGTGCTTAATTTTTTTTACGTTGCCCTATTTAAATACGCCTCTGAATTTAAAATTGAAAATAAATCAGTTTAGTCAGCTATACAGACAAAATCGGCATAGTTTTTATAAAAAGCTACCGCTATCTCAACCATAACTGTTGACATCGGTAAACATTGCCATTTTGATGTCGCGGTTATAGCCGTAGTCGAGAACGTTGTCAATCAACGTTAGAACGGCGTCATCCTCTGACCCCTTGACCCATAAATGTGTGTGCGGCGTGTCCCCAGTGGATCTCTTGTCTGCATATTTGTATTGTAACAAATAAAATGGTGCTCATGTGAGTAAGCATCTCGTCCCGTATTACCCACGTCCAAGCCCATACGCAAACGGTCGGTCGAAACCAGCAAGGCAGAGATCCTAGCGAACCCTGACGCATCACTACCGATAAATCAAGGATCAGCGACAAAACTCGGGCTGCCACGCCATTATAACAACCTTGGGTTCCGCCTCATCGAACATCTAATATCTGTGGTAGAGAAACGTCTACGAACCATACTTATAATTGTGGCAAACGTATGTTATAATGAAAATACTCATACACGTATTTTATTGTTATATTTAATTTAAAATGTTTATCGTGTATTTATAATATTCAATGAAAATAAAGTTGACCATTTCTATCAGTTAGTGTCCAAATATTGGCTCAAAGCAGCCCGAGATATAAACTGACAAAATTATTTAGATGACAAGAAATATGCCAAAAAAAAAAAAGCAAGTAATTTAGTGCAGATGTCACCGCCTATAAAGTTGGTCTATACAGAGAAACGTTTTAATAACGTTACTCATAAATTAATAATTATATTTAAGAAATTATTTTCAGTTTTTTTTAATTCATTCTTTATACTTTGTAAGAATGTCAACGATCTTCTTTTTACTCGCCTTTATCCCAACTACATGGGGTGACCAACCCTTATCCTACACTTCCACATCTACGCACACATCAACCGTTCTCATATTGCATTCAATAACATCCCTCCATCTCTTTTTTGGTCTTCCTCTAATCTTTGACTTAATCCTGTACGCTTTCAGATAAATTTAGAAAAATACATACTTGCATATACATAATAATAATAATAAAATAACTTTGAATTTCAAATTATTATTATAATAATTTTTATTAAACAAAAAGTGAGTTTTCATAAATCAATCCAATAATTTCCTATCCTCTATAAAAACAACAAAAAGTTAAAAAATAAAACGATTACAATATATATATACATGGATATTAATGATAAAATAACACGCAAAGAAGTGAACGTGTTTATTTATGACATATAAAATACTTGATTATAAGTTAACACATTTTAAACTACTTAAGAAAAAGATTATTTTGTAAAACTGAAAGTAAAACATTTTTGTAATGTTTAGTTTAATTGTAATTTCTTTATCAATTGTTCTAAATAAAATATAGTCTATTATTTGTAAAACTGAAAGTAAAATATTTTTGTAATGTTTGAATTAATTGTAATTCCCTGAATTATTGTTACTAGACCAGGAAATAAATATTTATAAAACACTTTTGAAAACGATTGTATTATGAATTTTGTAAAAAAAAGAAAAAAAAAATATTTTAGTATATAAGACGAAATTGAATGAATTGTAAGGAAGAGAAGACCTCGGGAGTACCGAAGGTAATCTCTATTCGCGTGGTACGTTTGTGACATTATGTTTTCATTTTGTGTATTATTTATTTATCCTGTTTTAAGTGTATAATTATTTTGTATGTTTTACTTTGTTTGATTATATCTTTAATAATTACATTTGCGTTATTATTGAACTATTATTACTATAAGTAAGAACAAAAAGGTTGTTACGTATATTTAAATATTAAATATAAACGACTTATTTCTGCGCATATGTTTATTGTGATCCTTAATTTGTAAATATGCATTTTTAAGACGATTTAATTTTCTATTCAATTTATAATTAATATATGTTATTGTTGATATATATGATTGGACTGTTTTAGTTTATTAACTATCTTTTTTTTTTTTTTGATATTATGTTTGTTATTAACACGTTTATATTAGTTTAACATGTATGTTTGTTTGTAACTCCACGCACCACTTATTATTCTCGTGTATCCCGTCGTCTATGGCCTTGAGACTAAACTGTCGTAACGCATTCACTTCACCCCACGCCACGCTAACCACACGCTAGAAAACTATTCCTCTATAATTTTATTTATGGTTTTTGTACTCGTACACTCGTGCGTGTCATCAATATTATATATACATAAAAAAATTTTTATTGTTTATTATGAGATATAAACATTTAAAGATTCAAATTTTTTTGAGTTAATATACATATATAATACATAAGGGATTACAAATACAGGTGGCTAATTGGTTTTTTATGACGATAATCGCAGGTATATAGATTTTATTATCAATAATAGTAAGACATAGTTGTGAGTTTATAAATACACTATCTTCTAATACAGAAATTGTATCTATTGATAGTCATAATTGACAATAAACACTCCATGACTGTAACAGCGATGTCATAAAAAACTAAAAAGTAAAAAATAAATATAGTTTAAAAAACACACTTTTAAAGCACATAGAACTAAAAATTATTTTTAATTTTTTAGTTCAATGTGCTTTAAAAGCATGTTTTTTTAGTATTTTAAACTATTTATTTTTATATATTACTAGCT